AACAACAACAACAATGTAGGGTTGCTATGAATTAGAGTGTACTCAGCACTTACCTACACCCACAACCCTAGGTAACTTTTGTCTGCTGGATCGTCAGTGACTGGTCCTTGAAACTGATTGCCTGGACTCCTTCCCAGAGGGAACTCTGATGGCCTAGTGGCAAGAAGCTGCACTATAATCCTGAAGGCACAAGGCTTGAGTTCACCGGCTGTTCCAGGAGAAAGATGGGCAATCTCCTCCCATACATCTAACTGCCTCTGAAAACCTGCTGCAATGTCAGTTTTGGGTCACTTCTGACTAGATGGTACACACAACAATGAGATATTAAGAGCTGCAGTGTTTCTGCCACTGTTGTGAATCTTTGCAACTTCATATAATAGAGCACTTGATGACTGAGAAAAGAAGGGTGTAGCAATACCATCATACTCTGTACTGACAAGAAAACAAATAAGTCTGTCTTGGAGAGGGTGAAACCAAATTTCTCCTTAGAGGCTAGGATTTTGAAACTCTATCTCAGACTTTGGGCAGGTGGGTCAGAGTCAGTGAGACGGGCTCAGAATAGGGCAGGCTTCAGAGCTGTTGTACATAGGGTTGCTATGAGTCGCAGGCGACTCCATGGCAAGTAACAACAACTTTTAGAAGCTACTCTTTCCTCCTTCCCTTTGGTGTAAAATGAGCCACAGTTGTTCTTTTGCATACTAGAGAAGAGAGATGGTCCCCCTTTGTGTTAAGCAAATATATTCCAGGTAGGCTCAGCCTGATCTAAGGTGGTTGCCCTCTCCCACTCCTCTCAGTTTCTGGTGAATTAACACAAACTCCTGGCAATTCCATGTGTGCACCATTCAGTGTGCAAGTCTGAGACTTCAAGCAGATTGTCAGGTCTGTCTTCTGAGATGCCTCTGGGTAGACTCAAACCTCCACCCTTTTCTCACCCTTACAGGTAAATGGCATACACATATATATTTTTTTTCCTTGAAAACTGTATGACCAAAATTGTCCAACTACAAATTTTTGCCAAGCTGGGCTTTGTTGACTCAAGGCATCTTTCTGGGCTGCTTCTGTGTTACTTTTACCCATCTCCTAGGTTTTCATTTCCCAGTATCATTCAGTTCCTAAGGGTTTCTTTGTCCAAATATCTAGAGAGAAAGCAGTACTTGACTCCCTTAGTGTCATTCCACAAGGCTGATGATTGTTTCCGCAGCTTCTAGTCATCGATAGTTTTTGTTGTCTGCCTAGCACCCACTCCTCCAGATGCTCATACAGGCAGCTATTTTTCCTTTCATACTACCATATACTTATAAAGGGGAGAGTCCCACCTTGCTCCAGAAGTGGGCTTACTTTGTCAAAAGCTAATTCTCAGCTCTCTTATCAATGATTGCTTAAGAAACTCAGGCTTCAGTCCTGAGGAAAGTGTGTGACACTTTCCTAGCCACCAGAATTTGTTCCAAAATGGCAATTTAACCCAGTGGAGGCATGTGGGAATTATATGGAGGCTTCTTGGAGATGAATGTCCTCAATTTCAAGGTGATGCCCTCTTTCGTCTTGATTTTGTGCAGAAATGAGAGGTCTGGAAACATTGCTCTCAGCTGAGAATGACATTGACACCTTTAGTAGGGCAGGATTGAGAGAACGGCAAGGAACTTGATCTGGAGCTGTGATTGATCTGCACTTAACCATCACATAATACCTGAACATTCTATGAACATGATTTGTCCTTTCCAGTTATGGCTACATTGAGTCTTCTCTGCTTAGGAGCTGTTTGAATTGGGTTTTCTGATCTCTCAGTCTAAAAGCATTTTAATAAGTACACCAAACCTTTCTGGAAGAATAAAGATCCCTTGGGAGAAACAACAGTACCTATTTCGGCGCCCAAAGGATCTCGTTTCTCTTAAGCAGCAGACCTTGCATTGCAACTTCGCATCACTAGGCTTCTGGCAATAGATCCCATTAGATCACATTGGTAATTTAGCATCACTGGATGTCTGGCAAGAGGCTCCACGATCCGGCTATTTTTAAAATTTAGCATTAGGCTGCATGATAATGCATTTGCAACTTCGCATCATCAGATTTCTGGCAACAGTTGTTCACAGTCTGCTATTAATGTTATACTTAGCTCACGATGAATCCATGCACAACAGGATTGGCTGTTGAAATGGAATTTGTTCCTCTCCTCACCTAAGTATTTATTTTTTAAAAAAAAATTAGAGGAAGAACAATACAAAATTCAATACACACACAGTAGGAGGGAAAGAGTAAAGGATAAAATTGGACTTAATGATAGAAAATGGGAAATACTTTAAAGGTAAACTGGACTGCCCAGTTTTGGTGAGATGTTTTATGTTGCTAGATGCTGTTGACACGATTCACATCAATTCTATCAACAACAGATTGAAATAGTGCCTTATCCTCACTACCTCTGATAGGCTTGAGCCTATTGTTACTGTCAGTCCATCTTGGTGAGAGTCTTTCTCTCTCTGATCTTCCATGTCCCCCTGCATGATACCTCTTTCCAAAGGCTGGTCCCTCCTAACTAAAAATATGCCTAACACACGTGAGAAGAATTTTCACCACTCTTGCCTCTAAGGAGGCACTTCCCTGGTTGTGCTTCCTCAAGAGACAGACTTGTTAGTTCCTTGACAGCTGATCAGGCTTTTTCTGAAGCAGATTGGCAGATCTTTCTTCCTAGTACTGGAAATGCCACTCACTGAGCATCATGCTGTTGTGTGCTGTCGTGCTGGAACATACTCAGAGCTGACTCTCAGGTGGGTTTTCAGAGGCAGCAAATCACATGGAAGGAGATTGTCTCTCCTTCTTCCGCCTGCAGCAGCTGCTGGATTCTAACCAGCTGCCTTTGGGACTGCAGCACAGCTTCTTACCACTAGACCACCAAAGCGCCCTGCTCAGCATTATAGTAATATGCCAGCCTCCACTGGCCGATATGTCTTTGGTGGTGCTGGGAATGAAACCCAGGCCTCCCACACTGAAGGACAGAAGTCTGCTACTAAGCCACTACTACTGCTACCTGTTCTGTACTTCTTTGTGAATTAGACTTCAGGTCCTTTTCCAGCCATGTATCTGCTTGAGTAACAGTTTCTTCTGTAGCTTTTATTTAGGAACCCTTACGGATTGGGTGAGGAGAGAGACCATGAGACTTAATGCACCGTGTGGGTCAATGAACTTGGCTTGCCAGTATTGCTAAAGAGAAGGCATAGTATTTTCCAAGCTGATGGCATTACAAATTCATGACCTGCAACATTAACAAGATGCTCCCTGCCCACGCTTTCCTTTACAGTGCAATTTGAACTGTTCACTCAATCCAGCTATTGATACCTATTTCCAGAGAAAATCAAAAGATCAGGCAAGAACCACAATAAACCTCCACTACAGCCGGCATTCACATTCTAGCATCTACTCTTTTGAAGCTTGGGGTAGGGAAAGTGCCCTTCTTTTTTATTCATGAAGCCCAAAGAAAAGGAGGAAAGCTAACTAGAAGAAAGAACATGGATGTTATCCAATAGCAAGGGCTAGAAAAGAAGGAGCCCTGAGTTTGCAACACTCTGACAAAGACAATTGGGAAAATACCAGAGGACGCCCCGCCCGCCTGAACCACATTGCTGAGAATACTGCGCCTCTGGCCTACATAGGATAGATATGGAACCGCCCGGAGCCTGGCGTCCACTGCTCACAGCCTGTGGAGGTGTTGGAGACCGGTTGGGAGTGGTGACCCCTCTGGCTAGCCCTTTGCTTTGCGAACAGAAACAGCAGTTTCCCTGTAAATGTTGATCTTGTTAGGTCCCAATAAAGAAATAAAAATGCCTGAGGCTTCCCTTTCGTGGGGGTGTTCCAGAAAGAGGCAGAGCAGGAAACCGGGATAGGATGGAGGAGGGGGGTAAACTCAAATGCAAAGTGAGAGAGCTGGAAGAGGGCGGGGTCCCGGGGGCGGGACTGCAAGAGGTGGGGAACTCTGTAGGAACCCCTCTTCTTTGCCTTGGCATCCCGCCCACCTCCCCCCCTTCTACAGAAGGCCAACTCCGCCTGCCTGAGTCACGGCTGGGGCTGGGGTGGAGCCCGGGGAAAGGAAAGGCGGCCCCAGACCAGAGCACAGCCAGCGGCCGGCCGAAGGGAGAGCAAGATCTAGGATCATGGGGGAAAGCGCACTGGAACCAGGGCCTGTGTCAGGGGCGCCGGCGGGGGGCCCCGTGCACGCTGTAACGGTGGTGACCTTGCTGGAGAAACTGGCCACCATGCTGGAGGCGTTACGGGAGCGGCAGGGCGGCCTGGCTAAGAGGCAGGGCGGCCTGGCGGGCTCGGTGCGCCGCATCCAGAGCGGCCTGGGCGCGCTGAGCCGCAGCCACGACACCACCAGCAACACACTCGCGCAGCTCCTGGCCAAGGCCGAGCGCGTGGGCTCGCATGCCGACGCCGCCCAGGAGCGCGCTGTGCGCCGCGCCGCCCAGGTGCAGCGGCTGGAGGCCAACCACGGGCTGCTGGTGGCGCGCGGGAAGCTCCATGTCGTGCTTTTCAAGGTCAGTGACCTCAGGCGTCCCCCAACTTGGGGACCTTTCTAGGCCACCTTCGAGGGGGCTTCCCACACCCCGCCTGCCACACTTACATTCCTGACTCCACCCACCTCCCCGGCGCTACGGCGGAACCGTTTTCCAGTGCCGCACCCACTAACCACCCCTGCGCCTCCTCCCTCACCAGCGGGGCGCAGCCTAGCCAATCAAACCCGCCCTGTTCCCGCTCAGGCCACGTCCACAGAATTTGCTCCACATCCCTACTTCTCCCCACATGAAAATAACGGTGGGGGAAGGAAGTGCATTCCGCCGCAGCTGGCTGTCTACTCCAGTTCTTGTCAGTGCGAGTCAGTCTTCGTCTTTCGTCTGACATTCCACCTCTTAGCTGGACACTCGCAACTCTCCCTCATTGCATCCGCATTCTCATCTAACCCACGCCTGTCTCTCCTAACCTACCCTTTTCTCTCTCCCCTTCTTGGGCCGTGGAGCTAATGGGTAAAATGGTTTCCCTTCAGTAATTGAGGACTGAGGTTTAGGCTTGCGCACGGAAGGGTCTGGGGAGATGGCCTTGTTATCTGGGTCAGTATTGTGCCTGTCCTCTGCAGGATGAGACCGAAATCCCAGCCAGCGCCTTCCACAAGGCGCCAGAGGCCTTGGACCAGGCGGAGCAGTCCGAGATGGGCCCAGAGCAGCCAGAGGCCGAGATTGAGGAGAGCTCCGACGAGGAGCCCGTGGAGTCCCGGGCACGGCGGCTGCGGCGCACTGGGCTGCAGAAGGTACAGAGCCTGCGACGGGCCCTCTCGGGCCGCAAAGGCCCTGCGGCGCCACCATCCACGCCAGTCAAGCCACCTCGCCTGGGACCTGGCCTGAGCGGGAGCGCTGATGGCCTGCCTGAAGTCCAGCCTGCTCAAGATGTCACACAGGGATCAGAGCCTTCCCAGGACCCGGAGGAAGATCCCGGGAGACCTGGGGCTGCGGAGGCGGCTCTGCTCCAGATAGAGAGTGCGGCCTAATGGCCGGTGCTCCCTGCCACGCAGTGCGTGTACCTGATCCTAAAATAAATCCTCCTCCAGAATGCGGCACTCACGCCCAAATAAGGAGAGGATTCCTCCTCCACAGCCCAGCTTAGGCCCTCCCTTCCGGGCCCCTGAAGCCTTGTTCCTGGTGTCTTCTAAAAGAGGAGCCGCCGCTCACACGCCTGCTTGTGCTTACCACCAATAAAAGCAATTTTATTGAATCCAGACTCCAAGTGAAGGTTTGGGGATAGGTAGCACTGGTTTCATAAGGCAAACCTCGGAACTCAGAATTCTGGTGGCCTAAATTTCAAATAGTTTCTTGTATGAGTCTTCTACTTTCCACTGGATCCTGGACTCTGCTCCAATAGCTTATTCAAATATCCTTCTGACTGTGTCTGCTCCCTCAAACTCCCTTTCTTCAGGGGGATTAACTATTCCAACTTTTCCCCCACATGGTGTATAGTTCCCTGCTAATAGGCACTTGATAAGTGTTGCCTAAAACGAAAAGTTTGACTCCCCAGTCTCTACTCTTGTCAGTTCCTACAAGATGAACATTTAAGATTCTATTCTCAGCTCTTTTCTTGTGAATACCTCATGGTTGACAGTTCCTCCCAGACCTTACCTACCAGCTGCCTAAACCACAGACCACTGTCTTGAGTTTCAGTCTACTTGAAAAGTACTTCAAACTCAACATGTTCAAAAGAAGCAATCTATTTTATTAACTTCAATTAGGAAAGTCTAAGCCCACTTGTTAAGATTGGTGGGAAGGTTATTATACATTATTTTAGGACTCCTCTTTTGTCCTTTTGTTGTAGAGCTTTAAGGGTGTGGGTCAGGAAGGCTCAACACACACAGACTTCTCAGCCTTTGGCTATTTCTATTGCTGTTGCTCTTTATGCCCACAGGATTCCTGTCTTCCAGTGCCAGTGTCCTAACTGATGCCTCTTGTAGCTGTCTACCACTAGGTCTACTGTCCAGCTCTTCTATGAATAGCTTTGTTCTAGTTCCATGTTTTCTGGGAGAAGTTCAATCCCAGTCCTGAAGGTTCTCAAGCCTTCTTACTCAGACTTTACAGCGTCGCATCAGCTACCCCTTTCATGGGTTTATTTCAGAGTGGATAGTTTGAATAGTCTAAGTTCTCTGTTCCTGAGGAAAAGTAAATTATGGTTATTTCCCCAAATTCCTGGCGATCTACACAACTTCCACCCTTTAACACATAGACATTGGCATTTAGCTGAACATATGCCACATAAAATGTCTTGATAACTCATTGAGAAATATATAAAGGCAGAGAAATCCTGACCTTCAGCTCCTAGGAATCCAAAGGTGTGGCTAAGTTTAGGAGGCAGGGGATGCTACTTTTTATCACTTGGTGATGTGTTTATAGCAGCAAATAATAACATCAAGATAAAACAAAATTTCTTAATAGTCACAGAGTTCTATTTCATTCTCTATCATCACAGCTAGTTATTACTCATATTGCTATAAACTAATGGAGTAAGGACACTGACTTAGAACCACCTTATTATCTAGTGTGTATGGCATTTAGATAGTTGCTACAAGCAGGTGAGGGAGGCCTGGTGGCCTTGAGGACAGGAAATTACACTGCCAATCTATAAAAAGGACAAGGACAGCATGGGGATGGCCATATCTGACCTCTATGAACTCTACAAGAGGAGCTGCCCCCTCAACAACATCCATGGCACAAAAGTAATTCCTGTAAGGTCAGTTAAGCCCCCATGCTCCCATACCTCTTTCTACTCCATGACAAATCCTATTATTCTATTGGGTCTGAAATCTATTGCAATAGCTCACAGATCACACAGAACCATACTGATACTTATGGGTTTATTAGGGAAGTTAATTCAGATTGACAGCAGGATATAATCCCTCAGTCCTCCAGACAGCTTCTTAAGCATGTCTCAAAGCTTAGGTGTTACCAAATTCCTTAAGTTCTGCCAGTCATGGAATCTTCCCTCAGTTTTCCAGCAATCTCAGGTGAAGAATCATAGCTCTGGTTCCACAGAGTAGTAGTCGCAAGGTCAGCTCTGTCTCAAGTTGGTCTTTGGTTCTCTGCTTTGGCTGCTCTAGTAGGCCCAGATCTGAGCGGTACAGGAATTTTGCGCCCTGAAGGATGTATGATGCATTGTCTGCTGCTTCTTTGCTGGTGGTAAGATTCTTCTTTTCTACTGCTGAATCCACACAATTTAGTGATGAAATGAGCCAATCCCCTCATAATTAGAGAACCACACCCTATTTACACATTCCTCCTATTCACATGACAACATCAAAGGCAATGGCCTAGGAAAGCCATATTAAACAATTGACCTACCACACTGCATAATTCAAAGGTGGTGCGTCTCTGGCTGTTTGAATATACTAGTAGTTCCAAGGGAGAAAGGGGGGCATCTCTTATCATGCAATTATCAGACTTTGAAAACCCTTTGGAAGGTCATTTATGAGTTGATGACAATGAGTTGAGTTGATGGACAGATAGGAGGCATGCCAACAGATGATTAAGAGTCAGAACTTGGTTTTTAGCTCTTCAGAGCAGTACTAACTTTACAGGGAGCTGTGCTGCTAACTCAAAGGTTGCTTCTCTCTGGCAGTTGCATTTCACCAGTAACTCCGAATGATACAGATGACTATCTCCTCCCCAATGATTTATTATAGCCTTGGAAAACCTCTGGAGCAACAGCTATAAGAGTCGGTTCTAATTCAATGGCAGTGAGTTTGGCAGCATGATTAGGTTCAGAGGCTATTCCTTAGAAAGAGTCATCTTGCTTGGAAAGGACATCATTCTTTCTCCTATTATCATATACTGGATTCCTTAATTCTATTTTATTCTCATTTTCTTTTGGGTCTTACCCTCATTACTTCTGTGTTCTTGGCCCATTTTTTTTTTTTTACAATTAGCCTTACATTTTAATTTCTTTTTAAAATTAATGGGGACAATGGTATCTTAGTGGTAGTATTCTCACTTTGCATGCAGGAGACATAGGCTGATTCCTAGACAGTAAAAAAGTGTGTATGCAGCATGAGGACAGCCAAGTGTAACTTCTACTGAGTCCACAAAGGGGAACTGTCAGTATCAACAGCACCCACACACAAAATGAATTCCTATAAGGTTATACATGGTTTCCTACACTTCTACAACTACTTCTACTAATTTCAACACCAATCTTACAACTCTACAAGGTACGAAATCTGTTTCAATGACTACATATACTTTACAGAAGTATATTCATTGTTGTGGGTTTATTAGGGATGTTAACAGATTATAATTCATATCTCTTAGTAAAGACACTTTCTCAAACATGGTTGCAATCCTTCGCCCTTCAGACTCATGGCTTAGGTCAATTTTACAGTTCTTTTAGTTCTACCAGTTATGGTGTCTTCCCTTAGTCCCCTAACAAGTTTAGGTTAAGGCCTCTGGCTATAATACTATGGAGTCATTTCTGTCTTAGGTTGGTCTCTTGTTCTCTGCTGAGACTGCTGTTACACTTGTGTCTTGGTCTGTGTGGTACAAGAATCACCAGCTCCGAAGGGTGAATACTGCTTCCTTTTCTTTGCTGATGTCAAGATTCCCAATTTCTACCACTCATTTTAATGGTGAGACTAGCAAGTCCCCTCTGGACACAATATTTAAATGTTCTCACTCATCCATGTGGAAAAGTCAATCGGTGGCTAAGAAAGCCATTTTGGAGAATAAAGCCAATAGCCACTCACATAACCAATACAGAATATAATTCTTCAATCAGGACAACCTTTTTCCTTAGCTGTACCCAAAGACAGGCCTCTCTCTGGTCCTCTGCCTCATGATCTTGGCCTCTGCTCTACTTAAGCAAGTTACAAAACTCTTTTAGAACCACTACTCTTTAAGTCAATTCCTACTCATAGTGATCCTATAGAACTGCCACATAGGATTTAAAAATACTTATTGCCATCAAATCAGAATTCACAGCTGACCCTCCACTGGGTTTCTGAAGCTCTAAACCATGCAAGAAGAGATTGCCCATCTTTCTCCCATGGACCTGCTGTAGATTTCAACCACCAGAGAGGTCCAGCCTTTGGGTTAACTGTAAACTTCATGGAAGCCAACCACTTTATCTTCCTTCAATGGGATTGAAGGTTTGGTGGGTTCTTTACTGGATTTGAACTGATCTTTTAGTTAGCAGTTTGTGTTTTAACCACTTGGCCACCCAGGCTCATTCTTCCAGATAAGGCCACAAAAAGTCAGGTCTAGGTGTGAGCAGACTGTGGGGACACAATCCAGTTACATGATAAGAGTTCCACAGATAAGAGCTAGAGGAGCTACACCAAGTAATTACACAATACCACCAGTATTTGAAATTCTAGTCTGCATTTTCTCTTTTGATCAGGATTTGTCTGTGGAAACTTTGAAAGGATCAGTGATGGAGCTTGGCACCATCAACTTTTCTAGTTTAATGACAGAGGAGGCAGACAGCTGTTTTTTTCAGGCAATTGGTCAAACATTCTGTGTTTTCTACCTATTCTTGAATCTCCTTCTTCCTCTGTTGATCAAAATGGATATCAACTGTTCCTTTGATGGCCAGTTTCCAGACTTTTAAGACTTCAAGCTCTAGGTTACTAGGTATAACAGATGCACCAAACATTAGGCTAATTAACAGGGATGATTCCTGAAGCCACCATGGCAAACTAAGGTACCATGTTCCATGAGGTATTCCATCAGGTTGCATATACACCCAATCCACAACTTCAGCTATACGTGGTTGATTGTAATTAGGATAATAACTCTTGCAACAATAAATGAATATTTTTTAAAAAAAATAAAGCAAACTTAGTGGGGGAACGGAGGTGGAGGAAGAAAAATGTGCAATAATAAATGAATTAAATTCTAACTTTTCTGTCAACTTTCATTTAAATCACAATGAAAAAATAAAAAGATAACTGTGCATTTCTACCCTTAAATCGTTGAGATTTTTCTATGACTGTTTAATCTCGTCCTGGAGAAT